TTTTTTTTACAACACAGGGGGCACACGAGCATGTGGCTCACCTGATGGTAAGTGAATACTGCCGATCACCCAACACACCAAAGGCATTGCAAGTGTGCTGCTGGCCTTTTAAAAAGGAATATGCTCATTTCTTAAAGATTATGATGTATCGGTTCGGAAATACTGTTGCTGGAAGTTGATTCCAAAGAGTATGCGTAGATGAAAGTGTTCTGAAAAACGCACAGTGGAAGACCACCATTGGCACCAATGGCAAACAAGCTTACAGCTCGTCTGATGGTAAATGATTACTGTAGTCTATGGACGGCAGAAACACTAGAGGTGTCACGTTCGCGTTGCCGACCCTGAAGTAACCTTAATAAACCCTTTTTGAATAATCCCTTACTGTAGTCTCTAGAGAAAATCTCAGTAGTTTTAATTATAATTTATTAAAATTGTTACATGGTCCGATATCGTTGCAGTTTTATGGAGTTACAGCTAGCAGGATTGAAAAATCTTAATGTATAAAAATAGTTATTTTTGTTACATCTTGCCAACCCTTGTAAACTAAAGTACAATTGAAGGAGTTACATTGTCTTGTGCCTCATCCAGACAATGAACTACTTTGAGTGCTGCCCTTTCCTTACATTGTAATCCTTGGCGTGTACTTCATAGCTAAGGAATAATGTATTACGTGATTTTATAACAATGTTTGGAATTAAATTGCCTTGGGTTTAGACTTTATTAATTATACTACAGATAGCAATATACTCTATTGGATCAACTTCCACGCGGTTCCTTCTGGATACTATCTTGGTTAATTCTTGTGGAAGTCGTCATAATGGGTTAACTGAGTGCTTTTTATCCTAACCTATCATCTCGCACTGGTACTCTGCCAGCGTTTTCCGATACCTAGCGCAAGCGGGGTTACTATTCTAACCAAACTCATTAAAAAAATTAACTTATTTGTGTTTTTAACATACTAAATTCATATTGAGTATAAAGTAGTCGAGTTGATATTTTTTGTCCATTTTCAACTTCTGTGTTTATTGGTTCAATTTTCACTTTCACTGGTAGAAAACTCTTTTTAAACGACTTTAAAAAAAGAGGTTAGTGACGTCAACTGTGGACCAATTTCAATTAGATGCTAGTAATTTTGTTTACACCCTGTATAGTAGATGACAAGTCTACTGTATATTTATTTATAATTAGACAACACACGTCGTTAATTCTAATTGAATAGACCTACCGATAACGTAGCAACAGGAATAAATAGAAAACATGAATATGAATATTCGACATCCTGTTGCGAGCCTTTTAAATAAACATTCGAGTCAATTGGTTTTAGCATTGGTTTTTAGTTTTGTATAATTCGCTTGAGTGGATAGATTAGATACAATCACGGAAAAAGTATGTTATTTAGATTATTTAATCTATGATAATATCACAACATAGATACTACGGCGTAATGTATGGTTGTCACTACTACATTTATAGATGTCTGTACACGCGTAATGTGTTGGCATTGTGTGCATGTGATTGCGCTTCGTTCCTTTTTTAAACAATTTTGTAAATGAGAAGGGGCTCTTTTCAAAGTCTGTATTTTTATGTGTGTATGTATATATAGAAAGTATTACGCAATATCTTAGCTGAAGCGCAATTAATTTTGAATCTTATCTGTTATTGATGCAATGAACATGTTTAGATATTTATAATATATTAGTTTATGTTTTTTATATTTTATTTTATATGTTATGGCAGCTCAGGGACGAAGCAGTGTAAGTATAATCCTTCCCCATGGACTTTTTAGTTATGGGGGGCTAAGGAATACTGTTCCTCTAAATGTTGGGAGCCAATTAGGTACAATTTTGGTATCCCGTTAGCGAACTAACGGAATACCAAAAATTTGCAGTTCATTTACTTAGTTTGATCTCAAGTTTTTCTGTTTTCATCTGTGTTATGCAAATTATAATTTTATGATATGTGTTCTCTTATTGACTGTCATAAGAAACGGGACCATGCCTTATAACAGTTTACCAGTAGGACGAAACCCTCCTAGTTTGGCTTTTGGTTATGTTTTTAGAGGAACACTGCTGATAGGGATGCAGTTTCGACAATTACAATAAAACAAATTAAATACATACAATAAAACGTCTAAAATGAAGATGAAGTTGTTTTTAAAAAATTGTAATCTCTCTTGTGTAGAAAACACTACGAAAATCCCATTAGACATGAGTCATCCGCAAATACTATATTTACCCCATAAATGAATATGACACGCGATGCAAGTTCACCCTTGATTGACGTCAATACTTGCCTACGTCTGAAGTTATTTTTGGTAAATAGTTTAATGAAGTTGCTGTATATTGATTTATTTTGCTGCTGTATATTGTGATTGTAATTTAATAATAGTTTTATGTATTTATCATCACATCAGCTCTTAACTGTCAACTGCTGAACATAACCCTCTCCCCTGGGTGATTTTGCCAATAATTGCCACGCTTAGTAAGCGGATTTCCAACTACAGTATAACTTACATACATAATATTTATATCTCATAACATGAACAATTAAAAAAGAAATGAACAACCACGTGCCACGGCCTCCAACATATACATACCTACCTACATACCGCATAGTTACATTTACCGATAGCTATATACATCAACATATAACTATATCTATGACCTGCAAGTATGTATAGTACGACTGTCCATTCATAAGAAGCGGTTCATTCATGCCGGCTCGAGGACGTGAATGGGAGCGAGCGAGACAGACGACGTTAAGGTTGTTGTACACTGACAATGGAATCTTTGAATTGAAATCCTGTTCTACGAAATACCTATTGAATGGCGTTGTTTTAAAACAATTGTGTACGTGGTTTTGTTTCGTCGAGTAGCTATTATGGGAAGAGAAGGGTGGGTATTCCGGCATGGGTTGTACTCAAGTTTGTTATTGGATTATCTACTTCGTAATTATTATGCGGGCATTGTGCATTACAGACAATTAAAAAAGGTTAAAAAGAAGGAAGTTATATGTATTTCGGATCTGTTGTTGTTATTGTAGAAACAAGAAATTTCTTCTTTCGAAACTGAATTACGTATTTTTATTTGAATGATTTTTTTTGTTCAATTGTAAGGAATTTAATATAGTGCCACATAAATTTAGGTTAAAATTAAGTACCTAGTTCTTCTTTATAAAATTCTTTTATATGCTGACATTGTATGAACGTGACCAGACGTTCGAAGTTCGATGACCGGCCGTTTTGTTTTTTGTTCATTACGTAACTGCTGTCGTATTGCCAAATCATAATTGTATGTATATGCATATGTTGCTATGTATCCAATTGTGTTATACAAACCGATAAATACTATTTAGAATTAAAGAAATAAATCACGTATGTAATGGCTGCGCCATGTGTTTGAGGAAACTAATATTGTTAGCGTAAATAGAAAATAAATATTTTTGATAGAAATTAAATATTTGTATTAAGAAATTTCAAAAAAAGAAGGAAATTCTCAATTTAACAACAAATATTATGTTATGTATATTACATGATGTATTCGGCCATCCTTAATCAATTTATACATTTCATTATGCGAGCGACGATTTTCTTTAATATTAATCTTATACTCATAATTTTGTGACGATTGCAGGTGTTGTTATTTTATGTGTTGTCCAACATCTTAAAATTTGTAGTCCAAATTTGTAAATTAACATTTTGCATCAGCGTATCAATAAAAACTTCGCTTTTAGAGAAGTTTAAGCTGGTAGTAACTCGCCTTTTGTGTAAATATTTTCTTCTATTACCTATTATTTTTTGTAGTATTCTTACTAACATCATAAATGTAAAAGTGAGTTCGTCTGTTTGTTTGTTATCTACCTTTTAGAACTTAAATGGCTTAACCAATCATTATGAAATTTAGTATAGGTACACGTACTTTATGGGATAAAGAACGACATAGGATTTTTACAACTGTCACGCGAATGAAGTTGTGGGTAAAAGCTAGTTAGCTTAATATGTTAGATTACGTTACACATGTTAGATAGTTATAATATATTTAGACAATAAAAACTAGAATTACCATATTTGGATAAAATATAAATGAAATTCTAGTTTAATGTGAATGTGGAGGCATCTTTATATCAGAGCAACAAGATTGTGTAAAAAAACATCGCCGGTAGGAAGTCAACTGGAGTGCGACTCAACTATTTTGATCCATGGAAGACGTTAAATAACATGAGGTTACGTAATAGATATGTAGTATAATTCCAATAAAATTTTGTAAAGTTTTATAATTTTACAGTGATTCAATAGTTGTATATAAAAAGTTGTACATAATACACATAGTTTTATTAAAAAAAATGTTTGTATTTGGCTTTGAAGGGGAGATATGTATGGAAGTGATAAATATTACGGCTTTATAGGTAACATTCTGACATCATCATGAAGGACGGAATAATAATTAGCGATATGATAAATTGTATTAATTCACGATTTGGTTTTATATACGTGAACCATTCACGTCCGTAGTCCATTAAATTATTAAAAAAAAATTATGTTAAATATGTTAAATTATTATCTATTTATCAACATTATTAATGGTGCACTTTTTTAATTATAGTTAAAAAAGATATCGAAAATAATAGTAAAAATTAAAAAAGAATTATGCTTAAAAAGTTGTAATGTTGTGAGATGGTGGTAGACTCACTTTGCAATATTGGATTTGAATAGTCTTTGAAAAATGTTAATATGACGAGTGATACATTGACTACAACGGCCATAAAATACCTCTGATTACCTCTTAAGGAATTACTGCCATGAACAATTAGCAATAGACAATATCTTGGACTGAGGACACTTCTAATCTTAATTCACACGGACAGTCACAGGTTGTAAACAATTCTTATAGACTTTTATATGAAATTAAATAAAAGCCTTACAAGTATCAAGTTTATTCAATCCGAGTCGGAGGTGGTTATACCAAGCGTAGGCCACTTCGTACCTGACTCGACGCGCCCGTTGCCAGTCCAAGCCCGACCCGCTGTCACGACACGCGACTGAAACGCACGACAGACGCGACAAATCGGCCGGCGACTTGTCGAGTGAAGTGTTTAACCATGCAAGTGTTTACGCCTTTGATCCTCGTGTGGTTGGTAGCCGGGGTCCGTGCCGTCATAAGGACCCCTTTAGAAGCTTTCAGACCTTCGGGAGAAATACATATAAGAAGGCCGGATAAGCTGGCTTTTCTTCTACATAGGCGAACCACGCTGCCTCCCAAGAGTGGACTCAAGATTTTGTATCAGACTGGGGTGAGTTTCAAAGGCCAATGTTATTTAGGTATTTAATAGTAATTAGAAAGTTTGGTATATATTGTAGTTTAAGAATGTGAGATTTATTGTAGTGCTGTGCAATCGTTGTATTGTCCAATTTATATATAGGTAATACGATATTTTACAACAGCCATTATGTAAATAAATGAATAGGCACGTACCTACAAGGGCAACAACAAACTAAAGAAATTAACTTGATATGTCTAAATCACAGTTAACCTTTAATTAAATAATCTAGATTGTATTTAAAATTTTGTTATTATTAAATATGTGTCTAACATTAAGATGAGGTTTTTATAGTGTTTGTGCCAAAAGTATATTAAAATAGTCATAATATGATTTTCAATGTCATATTCGCTCATTATTTCAATACAAAAAGCCTAGGTATATTAGGTAGGTATATTGTATTATTACTATGAAGCATTAGTTGTTGGGTATTATACCACAGAGAGAAAAGAAAGAATAAATATTTTTCATACTCAGGAAATCTTATTTTTTACAAGGTAAAGTTGTACTTAACATAAAGATTTTAGATGTTGGTGCATAAACATTGCACAGCCTCATGATGCTTTGCTTAATTTTGTGATGTTCGATTCTCGGTTGGGGCAATTTGGATTATTATTTATCTTTGTGCCTTTAGGTGCTCTGGATATATAAGAATTCAGAAATAATTTGGACGTACCGAATTATTTCTGAATTCTTATATAGATAGGATAGGAAGGTATTATACTTTATAATTAAATTTTTAATTACCAAATTATATTTTTTTATTTTATCGTTAGGCAACTATTTTGTTTATAAGTTTACCTATTCAATTGAAGTTATTAAATACACATTAAAAGTAATAATCTTGAAAAACAAAAACGTGTGTAATATAAATAAGCTTACGATTTTAATTCCGTGTAGGGTAGTCTGAGGCATTGGTTCACTACTTTTTTTAAAAAGAGGGAATAGTGTGTTTATTCTAAATAAACAATGTAAAACACCAGTAGAGAACAAATTAATTAGCATGAGGTCAGCTCAGTTGGTCCATCTTGGCGAACTCAAGAATCATTAACCATGATGGTTTCCAGAGGGAGCCGTGTGAAGATTGATTTGATTGGGTAAAGACTCTTTTTTTTCCTAGATTGTTACTGTTGTATTTATTTGTATATAAAAAAAATGTTATGAGCACGAATTAAGTGAGGCAGTTGGATAGAAGTTTTCTGTTATCTTTGGCGACTTAAATTTTAATAAATCACAAGTAATATATCCTTCCTCTTCAAAAGGCCCTCTTTAAAATATTTTCATTAATTTATATTTAAATCCTATTGTGTAAGTAAATAAATTCACTCAAAAATAGAGGAATCGAAAATTACTTTCTTAATTTAAGTAGGTAAAAAATATTTTTTTTTATTATTACTTAATTATAGATATTGTACAGTATATAATACTTTATACTATAGTATATATCGCCGTGTGGTCCTAGCATAGAATGAACCACCTCTTCCTTTCCCGTGGGTGTCGTAAAAGGCGACTAAGGGAACTTAATGGTTGAGGGATGGATAGCAGCGTCCCTTATAAAACGACATCAAAGCTTAACTGCGGTTGCCAATTTGTCTGCTAAGCGTGGCAACTACTGGCAAAATACCTTTATGGGGGAGGCTTCTGTTTAGCAGTGGACAGTTAACGGCTGATATAATAATAGTACTACGTTGTCAATACCCCCATAGCTTATTCTAAATAATTTACTGTGTTGCCTCTAAATACAAGTGATTTGAGGACTTATTCGTCTGTAACTAGCAGTAATATATTTTATTGTATAGAAATAAATAACATGTAGTAAGAATATATTATATTTACGCGTATAGTCTACACGTGTTTGTGACTCATCATCATAGTAGAGAATCTACGCCTATCTGTTAAATCGTTTCCACGAAAGATACGCCCAATAATAATTAGTCCAATCCAATCCACCATCAAAAACCCGTTTTTATTGCTTAGACATTCCATGTGACTAACAATTCCGCGAAACACCATGTAAACATAGCGGGAAATGTTAAAATTAACGCGACAAAAACTTCATTAATAAACATGGCTATACATAATCCAGAATAACAAATGCCAGTTATATGTGTACGTAAAAAAAATCAAGTTTTCCGGCCGAATAATCAAAAACAAATAAGTTCCGGATGTCAATTCTTGTTCGTCATATTTTAAAAACAAGTATAATCATTATTATGGCTAATTTCGAAGTCGATTCAAAAAGATAATCACTGTAAGGATAGGTTGGTAATAACTGGCATTGGATAATAGTTTTAAAAATATTGTGTTAGTATTCCAAAATAGACTGTATAGTATTTGGGATAGAAGTCAATTTTTGTGTTTGTAAGTGCATTTTTAAAAGCGGGATTACAAAACGATTGCGTGGTTCGGGTGCGTAGGCGCACGCGTAACACCGGTGGCGGCAGGTGTTCATTCACTCATTCTTATCTTGACAGCTTCGATGACTTACGGCCGAAGCTCGTCCGTGTGTGCTATTTGGTTAAAAAAGCTTTTTTTATGTCACTGGCTTTAAGCCCATTCGTAACGGTAATGTCTTTCCGATCGTTCGTCTTTAAGGAATGGAATTCGGAGTTATCTTGCCGTTTGTAAGTATTAACTTTTATATGAGGACTTAAATCTTGACAGGGACTTTTAAGGTATTTCAGTGTTAAGATCCCTGTATGATCATACTTCCCTGTTAATAATTTAAAGTACTAAATGTATATCCAGCGATCTTGCAATTTATAATATTTAAGGTTTATATATATTCATAAAAATATAAGTATGTTTAGGGAAAATTCATTAGTTGCATTTGATCGATAGGATCAAATACTACCAACACTCAGTACCAGAGCAATGGAGCCACCTACATTTTTGGGGTAATAAGTCAAAGCTTATTAAAGAAATAAGCTTTCTCCGTCCTGTATATCCACTATTATGTAAGTATGTCTACTAATTACCGAATAGTTATTAATTACTAGATGATAATACAAAACTTTTTGAATTAAAGTAGAATGAAATAAATATATAATAAAGAAATAATGGATAAATATATATACGTATTTTTTGTTACCTAGCAAAAGCATTTTTCAAACGAAATTGTTATTTATCTGATAGAAATTTTGTTTAGCCTCATAACATATGAAATAGACATTTTAAAATGTGACGTGATTTATTTGCTCTCAAGTGTACACAGGGTGTACAATTGTCGACCTGACAATGGACTATCATTTAGAGATGAAGTGATCGACATTTTTGGCAATAATGAAGCACGGAACTGTAGTGGCCACAGCGGGAGTCACGACGGTACATAAAAGAGAGTTTAATGCTTCCAACATATAAATAATGACGTGAGGGTGCTAGCCCTTGATCTAGCCGATGACATGCCTCTTAAATCTCGTTTCAGTAGAATTGAATTTTTGAATGGCATTTGTGGTCGGTTTTTAATGAAGTGACTTGAAAGTGATACAAGATGTCTGTTGCTGATGGAGAAGAATAAAATGTGTTTTTAGGGTAACTACCCTTTGTTATTCCTTACACGGCGTAAAAGGCGACTAGGATAACAAAGCACAATACATTAGTGCAATAAAAACAAAACAAAACTACACCGAGCCGCCTGGCTAATAAATTAAACTGGAAAACTTCGCATGCCAGACGATAATATTTTTAATCCCCAATTCAAAGAAAAAAAAAAAAAACAAAAACATTTCAAAACAAGAGTGTTTTTAGTTTTGTTCGTCTGTGGGTCCGTCTATGGTATCGTAGTTCTCAAATAAATATATCAATATTAATATTTCTGTTTCGCCTACATCATTGTCACGAGTCACATGTTAAATATGTATATACATCTAAGTACATTTTATGTTATGCAGTAATAAAACAATCTTGTGTTTTTGAAATAATTAAGGCAAAACACACAAGTTTTTTTTCTTTTTATATGTCGCACACACAAAAAAAAAACTTATTTTAATTGTAGCAAAGTCATTTTTAATTAAAAACTAAACTACTGGTCCGATTTTGTTAAAATTTCTATGGAATTAATCTGTAAGTACCATATATCCTTTCAGATAAAAAAAAATCCAAATTAGTTTACAACTGAAAGTTATGAAGTAACAAACATAAATAAATATAATCGAATGGAGAACCTCTTATTTTTAAGTCGTTTAAAAACGAAATTGAATACAAATTAAATAAAAAAAAAACAGTCATTGGGCATGGAACTGTCTCTCAACTACAGACTACGTTAAGTGTATTTCCATTAGTACAAAGGCGGTATTAATTAATTATTTATATTGATATTAATTTGATGATTATGAATGATTTTTGCCTAAATCATTCATAAATCATCAAATTAATATCATAAGTATATAATTAATGTAATAAAGTCTTACATATCAATAATGCTACAATAAATGGGATACACGATGTTCTGTTTGAGAGAAAAAATGTTGCATAGCAACATTCCCTGTCAGACTTTTTCGGTCCTATCGAATTCTTTGCGGAAATGTCAGTTCAATTTGACAATTGGTGAATAGAATAATGGTGTTGCAATTTATCTTTAACAGTTGCAATTGTCTTTTGGACAATTGACGATAACCTTAGCTTTGTATTTCAATTTAGATAACCAACTGAACATTAAGAGAACATTTTTACTTTCTTTACACATTTCTAATAGCATTTTGCAAATTTACAGAACAATTACAATTAAATCTATTGAAATAATTCACTGTTTTTGTAATAACTTCTTGATGGAATTTCATTATATCGATTATATAATATTATTTAAAATATTTGTACTTTATTTTTATCAATTATAATTTTTAATAAAAAGGTTATTGAAATTTGAACAGGATATCTGTCAGGTCGGCTGATGTTGTACATAATGGTCATTTTGATGAATAAATAAATTCATCAAAGCATTGAATGCAGTTGATGGTTTTCTATGAAAATTAGCA